TAAGAAACAGGGAAACTGTAGGTTAAGAGCTAAATAACCTTCTTTTTTGTAACTCACTTAAATATTGATACAACCTATTTCAAGTTGTTAAGTCAGGACAGAAGAGAAAAAGAGCTTTCCAAGTATACTTACTCCAAGTCATAGCCAAGAGATGATAAAAATGCAAGTATTACTGTATTAAAAGTACTTTGATTATAGTAGACACTTTTAATTTTATTTATTTTGACTGTTCAAGCCAAATTTAACCCTTCTTGAACCACCACCCTGATTTTCTTTGAGAAAATTCGACTCTCAGACTCTTAGAACATATGATTAGAAAGCAGCTGATTCTTTGGTTTTGGAAGTTAGCATGTGAACTCAGGACTGACCAGAGCATCGCAACCCTCCTTACACACACCTGTACACACACACACACACACACAGATTGTTTTAAAAGGTGGACAATAAAACTAATTCTGGGCCCCAGGTGGGACTCTTCAAGCTGTGGCTCCTCATTGTACTGAATAACAAACTTATGCCATCTTCTGACCAGCAGTTCTGGTCACCAGAATGCATTCAATTGCCAGGAGATGAAACGAACCAGACTCAGTCCTGCTGATCTCTTTTGTCCTCCGGGACTGAGTCATTGCAGAAGGGTTATGTTGTCTGATTGAATAAATTCCCTATTTTGTTTTTGGGTTTTGTTTTGATTTTGAGGGTTTTAAAAGCCTATTTGATTGAATTTCAGTTTAGTTGCAAATGGAAGCATCCTAACCATCAGGTCCTACTTTGCTGAAGAATATTCTTATCTGCAACTCTTCCTCTCACCCATTTCCTATAAAGGGCAAGTTCTCTTTGTCTTTTCCATTTGTTCCCTCTATAGACTGCCATCCCACTTCCTGCCAGATCCCATTGCCAGGCTCCTCTGTCCATGGAGTTTTCCAGGCAAGAATGGGTTGTCGTTTCTTACTCCAGAGGATCTTCCCGACTGAGAGATCAAACCTGAGTCTCCTGCGTCTCCTGCATCGCAGGCAGGTTCTTTACCGCTGCACCACCTGAGAAGCCTCTCATTTTATTAAAACACTGCTAAGGTAATTTTCTTACCTTACTCTTCCTGGCTTTGAATTTTCCTCCAACTAGGATTTTTAATTGACTCAGCTTACACATAGTACCTACCTGCTTCTCTTGTTCTGGAAATTGGTATATATTCGTGGACTTGGTTTATAAACTCCTCATGCAAGTATAAATAGTACTGATAACAAAGGACTCCCACACACCCTTAGCAATAAGTACAGTGTCATATGATTGTGTGACAAATTTCATCTAGTGTCAAGTTTCACTTCATATTAGACATCCCTCAGAGGCCTGTGAGTTGGGCAGGAATGATGCCCCAAGAATTTTAAAAATATTTAATTGTACTGTGGTGTTGAACTGGTAAGACTTCCCTTTGTGAACGTTTTATTATGATTTCAGCTTACCGTACAAATGTGCCTGACCTACAGTACAAGCCCATTCTCATGTTACTTTCTTTCTGTTGTTTATTGCTGTGTTGTAACCATCTCAGAATGTCTGGTTTAAAAGAATAATGGTGTATTGTTTCTCCCGATTCTGTGGATTGTTTGGGCAGTTTGTCTGATCTTTGGTGAGCAGTCTTCAGCTAGCTGATTGGTTGGGCTTGTGTTCAGCCAGTTTGTTGGTTGAGGCACCTAATCTCTGCTCTCCCCTCAGAGGTTCCAAGAGTGCAAAAATGGAAGTTACAAGGTCTTTTAAAGCTTAGCCTGTAAGCCATGTAGAGTCAGGACTATGGTCGCGTCTTCTTATTACAAGTGAGCTTAGGTAGGAATGGTGGTGGAGGAATAACTCTACCACTTGATGGGAGGAAGAGTAGCAAAATCTCATTGCAGAAAGGGGTGCTGTATAGGGCATCTTGTGTGACCATCTTTGGAAACAATCTACCTCACTCTTATTTTTATTGATAATGGAGAAAGAAACTAGGATACTTTTAATTTCCTAATCCTCTTGACACATACAGTAGAATCCCTCTGGAACCTTGTATTTATAAAAGTACTCCAAATGAAAACTAGTGATTTTTATTGCAAAGTATTTCTGAAGGGGCAAGTATTAGAACACACAGTTATTTATAAGTACACATACCTGCTAGTCTATTTTGGGTTTTTTTTTTTGGCTTATATACACAACTAAGCAGATAGTTTGTAATATATATAGGTTTTGCTCTTATTGAAAAAGGCAAAACATACTGTAATCACTAATTCTGCCTCTTACTCTGCTTTGTAGAACTTCAATTTTTGAAAATATAACTTGTTTGGAAGGGAGATACAGGCCTTTGAACCAATATGTTGCATTATGTAAGCCTGAAAAGTGTAGCAGCATTTCCAAGATACCTTTTGCATTTGAGATATTTAATATATTTTCTATAAAGTGTGGTTTATTCAAAAGTTTTATATCAGTTACATAAGGTTTTAAAACATGAAAAATAAAGATATGTGTGTAAAAATATCTAGAAAAATATGTTAAAATTCAAGTGGCAAAACTATATTCAGGATAGCAGTTCCTCTGGTAGGGAAGAGAGGAGAAGGCCACCAAAGAGCCATAATTGAGGGGTGAATAACATATTGTTTTATTTCTTAAATGGGGTAGTAGGTGTGCAGGTATTTGTTATATTTTCCCTTAGATCTTTCTATATAAAACACTGCAAAATTATAAAGAGAATGTTATCTTATAGTTATCATCTGATTAAGATGGCATTCAGATCTATGCTATCTGAAACTCTTCCAGAAATATTTTTATAATTGGTTTCTAAAATGTTGCCTCACTATACAGATTATTCTGCTAATGCAGCCCCCTGTGCACAATCATTTCATAATACCCTTTCATCTTCTTTTCAAATTAATTACTGTAACGACAAGCATAGAGACTCCACTGCACACATACACCTTCCAACTCAGAGCCAACAGCCTGGCCAGTTCACTTCGTTGCACCTGAGAGGTTTTTTATATGGTATATTTTATAAAATATTGCACGGGATGGGCCAGGCTTGGAGTAGTATGTCTACATCTGAAAAAAAAAGTGCTTTTAAAGGACTCCAAAAAACTAATTCTCTTGATATATTGGGACTACATCTTATTCAGACAACTATTGCAGAAAATAGTTTCTCATTTTTCTTCCAATATCCCCCAAATATTAATTTCTAACAAACATTTTCGGGTGAAAAGTTCTTTTCTTAATACCACTTAAGAAGCTCCTAAGGAAAAAAAATAAAAATAAAAAAAGGTCCCTCTGTTCAGCTTAGTTTTAAACAGGAAATAGAGCCAGGAGGGAACTCCCTGGTGGTGCAGTGGTTGGGACTTGGCGCTTTCACCGCTGTGGCCCCAGGTTCAATCTCTGGTCTGGAAACTAAGACCATCCCAGAAGCTGCGGTGTGGCAAAAAAAAAAAAAAAAAGAAAAAATGCTGCAGGCCGACTATCTGTGGCATGTGAAAGAGAAAGAGAAACGAATGACGTGGAAGGCAGTTTGTGCTCTCTTGTTTAAGCCAGGCAGTCTCAGCTCCTTTAAACTATAATCATGAGAATGTTGACATACTTGTATTCCACTGGCCTCTATTCAAATTGCCTGTGTTTCTCCTAAGAAAAAGCCATCCAGTATACTCTTCCTATCTTTTGAAGGCTAGGAACTCTGAGAAAGGGGTTTCTGTACCTTAATTGGGAAGTAGTATTAAATGTATACAAGTATTATGCTCAAATCTAACCCCTCTAGTTACAGATGACTTAACATGTTAAATAAGGAAAGTTTAATGTATGTCCAAGTTCCTTTAAAATAGACTCCTTTCTTTAACTCATTTGGAAGCAAATAAAGATTTGGATGGAAATACATGGTAGAAGATACACGAGAAAAAGAAGTGATACGGCTCACACAGGGCTCCTGGTGAGTTACAGGAAGCCTGGCTGCGGTCCTTGTGTAAAGGTGTCTCTGTGAATCCCACCTACTACATGTGAAAGACGTGTGGGCTCTGATATATGTTACTTTTCTCTTCCTTCCTATTCTCTTCAGCTTAGTTAGAGAAACACCCTTTAGGAAAGAGGCTCACATATGGTAGGTGCTTAATGAAAATTTCCTAATGAAATTAAGTTGATTTTACTAGGGTCTGCCTTGGAGACAGGTTCCATAAACAGGGAAACATTGCTGAGAAACCTATCCTGATAGCATCATGTGTGTGTGTGTGTGTGTGTGTGTGTGTAAGAGAGAGAGAGAGAAGAAACTAGTGAACCTAGTACATATGAAGCTGAAGTTTCTTCAACTCCCCTTGCTTCCATTTCCCAATCCTTGTCCATCTAATTCCCCCCACCTGTAATCATGGCCTGGCCATTCTCTCTCTCCTTTCCACCAGCTGCTGTCTCTTGCAGACTTTTTCGACCACTTGGAGTCAGGACTCCGGCAGGGTCCCCAGCTCACTTCCTTGCTTTCTGTCCTCCCCAACCTACCCAATGCACTGCTCTGACTCTCTTCCTTCCTGAAGCCTGACTGTCATCAGATCACTCCTCTACAGTGGCTCTTAATTGCCTTTCGAATCTAATTAAAACTTCTTCAAGACCCTCTTCTAATTAACTCTATAGGAGGCTCCCTTAGAGGCCATCTCAAGCCGGGTCCCTCCTGTGCTCTGGCCCAGCGACCAAACCACCTCACCTTCTGCCTTTTCCTGCTTCCACTCGTCACCATGAGCCAATCTCCTACCTAGAGGGAACACTTCTTTCTTTTTATCTGCCAAAGCTCTCTGTCTTTTGAACAGAAAGGGTGCTAAATTACCTTTCCCTCCCAACTCCAACTAAGAATCCTAATCGGTGGGTGTGTCCTTTTGGAAATGCGTGTGTTTTCACGTCCAGGCATTAGCAACGCCTTGTTGCAGGGAGCAGCGCCCACACATGGGTTCAGGACTCCATGCGTTTGGTAGAAGTCCTGCGGGCCTGGGGCTGGTCTTTTGGCTTTTCGTGCAAACAGTGACGGTTCATCTAGTGTGCAGTCCTTGGTTCCCGCCCGGAGGCTTCCCTGTTCCGTCTCTCTTCTCTTCCTCGCCCGCAAGGCGCTCTGGCCCGGGGATTTTCCGCAGCCCCTCGGCCAGCATCCCGGCGCGGCGGGGCCGGGGAAGCCCCAGGGCTCCCCAGGCATTCAGAAGGAAACCATCTAGGCGACAGATCGTGGAGCGCGGCTGGGGCCCCCCGGGAGCGGACCGCGGGTCGCGCAGGTCATTTCCCGGCGGGAACACCTCCTTGTCTGAGCTGGGCGGCTTCTCCGGGTCCTCGGCTGCAGGATGCTGGGGCCCCCGCTGCTCCCCTCCGCGTGGCAGCCCCGGCCCCCAACCGATCGCCTCTTGCTTCCCCCCCTTGAACTCCTGGGGAGACCAAGTGTTTGTAAAACTTGGCCCTGGCCCAGCCCCGGCCTCCCCACTTTGCCAACAAGAAGAGGGAGGGCAGCTCTGAGCGGCCCCGAGCGAACCTCGCCCCGCCTGCACTTCAGGCGCCGGGCCCAGCCCGCGCCTTCGGGTCTCCAGCGGGGACGGGAGCGCAGACTCCGCTTTGCCAGCGTGCGACCCGCACCTGGGACCCCAGCTCTGGTGCGGCCCAGCGTCACCAGGAACCTCTGCCCCTAGCCGGCTGCGCGCCCCACGGGGGCCTTCTGGCGCTGGCACAAGGAGGGACTGGCCGGGCCACTCCCTAAGGTGGTGGAAGGGACCTGAGGGTGGGTGGCAGGGCTCTCTGAGTGGGATGGGACCCCCCTGAACGGCGGAGTGGGAGATCGGCTTCCCGACGCAGCCTCTCCGGGCGACTCCGGAATGTCGCGGAGCTCCTGATGGATCCAAACTGTCTTATTTGCAAGCCCAGGGACTGGACGTGGCCCTCCAGCGCTGGACCTCTCTCTACAGGTGGGAGGCCTGCATCGATTCGGGATGAGCTGCTGGTGGTTAGTGCTGTGTTCTTGCTGCTACTGTGTGTGTGTGCCATTGGCTTTAAGTGTACCCTCCCACTATTCCCTTCCTGACTAATGCGGCTGCTATAAATGACGCCCAGAGAAGGGCGCAATAAATGTCAAGAGGTTGTAAGATGTTAAAGACATTGAGTGGTTTGCAGGCGTCCTGGGCTAGGCCTGCCACCATGGTGGGGCTAAAATCGTTGTGGTTACTAATATGTGTTGCCAGAGGTCCTCCTGAGGGTTTTAGCTACCAGTGAGGGTCTGTGGCTTGGTGATCAAGAATCCTGCCAATGCAGGAGACATGGTTCCATCTCTGGGTGGGGAAGATCCCCTTGAGTAGGAAGTGGCCATCCAGTCCAGTATTCTTGCCTGTAAAATTCCATGGACAGAGGAGACTGGCAGGCTACAGTCCATGGGGCTATGGAGAGCCAGACACGATTGAGTGACTGAACATGAAGAGCCTGAATATCCTAAATACAAAAAATCGAGTGCAGCGGCAGCCCAGTTTTAAAGCTAACCATAATTGGTGATGCCTTTTCTGGATAATGCAATTGAGATGGCCATGAATTTCTCTTTCCCCACACTGGTAGACATAAGGCTGCCTCGTTATTTTTAAGTTAAAAACCTTTCTTGTTGGATGGTCACAGCAGAGGCTCCATTGGCAACAGTAGCCCTTTCCATTAGGTTTGCACTTTTATATGTATTCATGGACATTCTTTCATTTGAGCCTTACTTAAATCCTGTAGGAAAGAAAGAAGTGGTATTAACCACATTCTGCAAAGGAAGAAACTGAGATTCAGAAGTCCACTGACTCCCCCGAGGCTGCTCACACAGAAGTGCACAGCTGGTGCACAAATGCAGGTGTTCTGACCGCAGGCCCCGTTCCAGCTCCATCAGGGCCACCAGGCCTTGATTTTGTCTTCTGCCTCTTGTCATGTTACTTGGGAGAAGGCAGAGGGGAAAATCACCATACATGATGAACATGGCCTACACAGCGAGAGAGGAACTAATACTGTGGACTCTGAAGGAAGCAAAGTTCAGCTCCAAATGCTGAGCTGGTATCTCTGATTAGGTGTTGCAGGGAGGAAGGAGATGCTTTCCGTATTCTGGAAAGTTCTTTTGTGGATGGGTCTCTATTCAATTAATTAAATATGGAAACTCTCTTTTGAACCCTAAAACTGAACAAACTTACTAGACAGGAAGAAATCACAAGTGAAACCTGAGTTGAAATAGCATTCACTGGGCTCCCTTTCTCCTGCTCTTAACCATTTCATCTAGCCTGGCTTTCTGGTCTTGATGGCCCTGAAAAGCTGGGGCTTCTGTGAGAGACTGAAGACTTGCCCACCCCAGTCCAAACATGCAGGAACCAAGGACTGGGGGACCCGGTCTTTTATCTTTCTTTGGGAATTTGTCTGGTGTTGAATGTATGGTCTTTGCAGATAGTTTTTCAAACCCCTACTTAGGAACTAAGTGGTATACAAACTGTCAATACTTACTTTCTAGAACTGGATGTTTAGAAACCTTTGAATAAGTCAGATGCATACAGTCACCTTCACAAGTGTCTCGTTAGAAGGAACTCAGGGAAGGAATGTAGACAGAGGAGGCAACAGAGGGGAATAGGGAAGGAGAATTGGATCTTCAACAAAACATTTGAATCGATTTAGGAGGCTGTAAAATTCAAAGTAGTTCTGAGCCGGTGCCACTGTGGGGCGCCAAAGTTCTACTCGGCTAAGGCCTGCGGTCGTCTTGGGTGCGAGGACAGACGTCCTGGAGAACAGATGCACCCGGGGGAAGAGAGGGGGGAGGAAGGAGGGAGAGAAAGGAGGGGTGGGGCTGGGGTGGCCTTTATTCTCCAGTTAAACTCGCCTGGGAGACTTTGTTACATAACAAGTCTGTGCGTGGAGGAAAAGACTTTGTCAGAAGGAAGGAAGGAAGGAGGGTGTGAGTGGGGGGACGCTCTTAGAAGAGATCTCGGACCACTGAGCTGACCAAGGCGCACAGACGCACCCCTTCGCTTCAGGAATTCTGGGGTTTCTTCTCAGAGGCCACGACCACTTTGAAAGGGGACGAGCGAGGAGGGGCTATAGATTTGGAGAGGCTCCTCTCTCCACTGTCACACCAGCTACCCCGCCCAACCTCCCCTCCTCCATTTGGGGGCCGCCGCCTCTAGGAAGCAGGGCCCTTTCTCCTCCGGGACGCCGCGGGGTTGCCCAACTCCATCTGCGGCCCCCGAGGACTCCTCGGCGGTGATAAAGGGCGGCCACCCCGGCCCGCGAGCGCCCGGGATGCTCAGCCGTCAGCTGTCGGGAGGCGCCGATTTCATTCCCGCGCGGCCTCCGCGGCAGGCGGCTGGGGGCGCAGGGCGGGGGCCGGCGGGGGCGGGGTGAGGGCAGGAGGCGGGAGGCGGCCGCGGCAACCCGGGTTGACTGAACGCCCCGGCCCCGCCTGGGTTTATTACATCCCCGCCACCGGCAAAGGTTAGGAACGCGCATTTGGAGATGGGATAATCCGAGTTTAAATATTAACAGTAAAAGCAGAACCGGTGGAGTATTTACCTAGAAACTGAGCAGATCTCCTGCTGCCAGGGGAGAGGAGCACGCGGGAGGCCCCGCTCTCAGGCCTGGGGCTCCGGCTGGGCTCTTCCCAGTGGCATCACGGGAGCCACCCAAGACCCACCTCGGGAGCGTCCTCGGATTGTCGTCAAGCGGGGAGGGCCGCGGAGCCCCCCCGCCCCCGCTTGGCCAAGTGGATCGGAGTCTGTGGGGCTCGCTCCGAATCTTCTGCTTTGTCATATTCTTCTTTTTAAGGGCCTCCCGGACCAACAAAAGGTGGCGGAAAGTGCGTTGGATCAATAGCAAAGATTGTTATTTAGATAACGAATTAATCTCCCTGTTATAATACTTTTTATAGTGAACTTTGCACCCCTTCCATAAGAAAAGGAATTTAAAGGGGAAAAAAAGTCTCAAACAGGATTAAGGTTTTAATTACAATTCCCTATCGAAATAGTATGTTTGATGAGCTGATCTTATCAATTAATAGTAACATTAAAGCTCAAGAAACAGATTCACGGGAAATATGCTTCAGGACGTCTCTTAAAAGTAATCGCACCTGGGGAACTAACGAGGCAGCGGGCCAGCGGAGCGGCGTCCGAGCAGGTTTCGGCCCCGCGTCTGCTCGGACTTGGTCAGTGCGGGGCGCGCGTCTGGGACTCGGGATGGGGTGGGGGCGGCGGGCCCAGCTCTACAGAGATGCGGCCGCGCGGGTGGGAGGGAAATAATACCTAACAGACGCCTCTTCCAAGCCGAGGCCCACATCAAAGTTGGGGCCCCGCAAGGGCCATGCAGTTCACTGCGTTTGGGTCAGCGTTATATTCCAGGGGCAAATAAAGTAATTTGAACATGCACCAACAGTTTTCCATAAAATACGAGTTAAAAGAAGTAATAGAACTAATCACTGTCTCCTCAAATCAAGTAGAAAACATTTCAATGCACTAATTAGAGTAATTAGAATAATAAGCCTCTGCCTATATGTGGTAAGACAATGTGTACAAACAACTTTATTTAATGTATACTGGTAATCAGCGATGCGTGCCTGCTTGAATGCTTAGCGCAATAAAACTACCCTCCGTCCGCCCAAACAATCAAATACAAATTAGTTTAATGATTGTGCCTGCTGAATGTCTTAGAAATCCACAGGCAGAGGCGAGTAAATAGAAGCATCCTTGTTTGCGTGCGTCCCCGCCCGGACCGGCCCCGGGGCCCGGTGAGTGGCCGCGGGCGGGCGCGGCGGGAGCGAGCAGCAGGCCCCGCGCGCGGGGCGGAGGCCGGGCCAGGCGCCAGCACGGACCTGCGCCCGCCGGAGCCCCTGCCTCGGTCCTGGCCGCCTTCCCACCCCTCCTAGGCCGGCTTCCCGCCCCGGGGCCCCGTCGCGCACCTCAGGCCCCAAGAGCCCCAGGGTCCCGCTGGGTTTCCCCTCCTGCGAAGGCGAAAGGCCTTGCTAGAACTCCCTGCGCCCGTCGACAAGGGTTTTAAGAACTGAGTTATTTCCTCCCACCAAGCGACCCTTCCCAGGGGCCTTGGGGAACCAAGGGACCATCCGCCTGGGCTTTGGGTACCCAGACCCCAGAGGAGAATCTCGGGCCTCGGGTGGCGCGGCGCGGCCCCTCCCCGCTCGCTGCCCTCAGCTCTAACTTGGGATAATGGGGTGTCCAGAGGGGCTCCCAGGTTCCCTTCTCTGGGGAACCGAGTTTCCTCCTGTGTAGATCTAAGAGTGACGATAGGCCCAGCAGGGACAGATCAATGTCCGGGGGTTTAGAGATTCGTTTTTCTCCCAGTTCCAGCGCTTGGGAGCTGAGGTCAGTGGCAGCCACAAGTTTGACGGCTGTGGGCTGAACAAACTTCAGAAGTTCGCTTATCAGCTCCCCAGCTCCTTTCCTTGGCCCTCCCCGTTACCCCACCCCTTCTCCCCCAAAAGCGACAAACAGGAAAAGGCCCAGTTATCTGCTTCTCAGGCAGCTTACCCTTTTTCCCTCCCCAGTTTTCCTGCAGTTGCCTCCTCTGCCCTCTTCTCCTGGGGCTCCTTCCACGACTGCCTCTATCAAGCAGAAAACCGTGTCCTGGGCCCAGCTTGGCAGACACAAACGGAAAAGCTGCGCAGGCAGAAAGCTAGGAGATTCCCTGGCCCCTGGCCCCTCGACCCTTAGGCGCCTCTGCCCCCATGGATCTCTGCCCCGGCCACGCGCGCC